GAGAGCAGGAGAGCGAGGATACACAGCACGTAGCGCATCATTATTATTATTATTCCAATGGTTGCAGAAATTGTGGATATCGTTGCACCTGTCTTACTTCAATGGAATGCACAATAAAGAAGGGAGAGAAAAACAGAAACACACAAACATACACCATAACAACAAATACTCACAGTGGAGAGAGAAGCAACAACTACTCAGTAAAGCAACAAAAAGTAATATCCCGCTTGTAATAATAATATGTAATCCCTTAATAGAAAAAGAGAAGACCACATAATACCCAAATAAGAAAGAGAGCCAAACACACACAATACCCCATGGCTCTAGTTTATGTATTAAATTACTACACACACACACACAACTGTGTACTAGCAAGAGATGTATACCGTCAGTGAGCAGAACAGCCCAGTTTTCTAGACACTTACACACAACGGGAAAAGCAAGTAATGGAATTAATAAGAAAAAGAATACACGCACACACATAAAAGTAAAAGAAAAGACATTCGAATTAAAACGAGAAAGCTGGTAAACAGATTATTAATTTATTCACCCATGGGGGATGTACGCAATTATGATTATGTTAGTTTAACCATTATTATTATTTCTCCTCAGAAGAGTCCCACCGTTCAGTACACGGTAACGGAGAATAACACAACCATAATCAGTAGTGGCACACGTATCCACACAGGACTGACAATGCTGTCACCATTAGCCTTGTTCTTCTGTACGGTGGAAGCGACGTTGCTGATCTCTGCATTGGGTACAGGAGATGGTGAAGGTGATGGTGTTGCGGTTGGTGCTTCTGTAAGAGTGTTGTTGATCTGTGGGTCGGGTAACGGAGATGGAGTTGTTGTTGCTGCGGCAGTCGTACTGTTACCAGTATTCGACGTTTCATTGTCAGTTTGTGGTGCTGCAGTCGTTTCATGATTTTGGTTTTGCGTAGTAGCTGCAGTATTACTTCCTTCTGGTGTGGCTGTAATTGCGTTCCCTTCTGTTCCTGTACTTCCTTGCACCACTTCAGCTGCTTGCGGTTCACCATTCCCTGC